TAGAGGAAAAGGGTACGCGAGACTGTGTATCCTATCTTTTCCTATATCTATATATATCCTTGTTTTGATAATTCTTTTATTTTTTTCGTATTTTTTTCTTCTTCTTCATACTTTTGTTTATGTTTTCCTTTTCATTTTTCCCCTTTCTCATATATCCTTCCATCAACCCCTAAGGATAAAAAAAGATCATCAAGACAAAAAGCAGAAGAAAGATAAAGACAACAAACTTAGATGAGGTTCTAAAAGCAAATTTGTTGAGTTTTCTTTATGTTTTCCTTTTCATTTTTCCCCTTTCTCATATATCCTTCCATCAACCCCGTTTCTCATATATCCTTCCATCAACCCCGAAGGATAAAAAAAAGATCATCAAGACAAGAAGGAGAAGAAAGATAAAGACGACAAACTTAGATGAGGGTCTAAACAAATTCGTTGAGTTTTCCTTTCACAGGGGTTTCAACTCATAAATAGGGACACTTTTGATGAAATCTTGTTTGACTATATGTTACTCCATATGTAAACATGGCAAAAGGCCACAAATTCAAAGTATGCAAGGCCTATAGCTGCCCACAAGTTCCCAGTGATGAAAATAATCACAGTACATAAACTTTATGCATTCACATAGAATAATTCCTTGAACCGAGTCATTTCTAAAAGCAATTTAGAATTTTTTGTCTTGGATGTAAATTAAATAAGTACTGCTTTTCAGAATTAGAAACACGGTATTTTAATGTCACACTAAAATGATTTACATGCAAATGCTGAAGTTGAATTCAAACTAGCAGAGTTCTACAGCGTGAGTTACAAAGCTACAAAATGGTAGTTATAGTTCTAAAAAAAAAAGAATAAAAGAAAAAAAAGTAGTCCTTTAACTTACCAGCCAAGGTGTTTCATTCTGGAAGTTTGGTTTAATGTCCAAATTATCAGGCCGATTGAACTGTTGCACTAAAGCCATTTTTTCTGAAAGTTCTTCATCCTTCTTTACCTCTTCTGGAATAGATGCAAATGCACGAGTAAATAGTTTTGTCATGATATACTTTTCCAATCCCTGCAATTGAAAGAAGAGAATGGGCACATCAATGATCAGATAAATAGGGAAAGAACAGACATTCATGAACCACGATGAATTTCAATGGCCTATAGACATATAGCGGTACGAGCAAACACACAATGGAACATTTTCCTTCAAAACCAGAAACTTCTACCAACATATCCCACATAAAAAGGTTTCCAATCTGAAGATAGCAAGCAGATGATTATGAGTATTACTTGTTGAACACTGAACATTCGCTTAATAGTGTTAAAAGACATTCATGAACCATGATGATTGTCAATGACCTATAGACCAACACTGGTAAAACACACTATAGAGCATTTTCCTTAAAAAACGGAAACTTCTTCCAACATAAAATCCCACAGAAAAAGGTTTCCAATCTGAAGATAGCAAGTACATGATGATGGGGTATTACTTGTTCAACAAGGAATATTGCATTGACATCCCAGATGTGACCATTAAAAAAATTCAGTATTAAAATCACTTGAACTGTGATGATTGATGGCTAGACTTTTACTCACTTTTATGATTTTCATCAATACTACCAATCTAAGGGCTTTTATGAAATGTTTAAATCATTTATGGATATTCCCACCACCACATATCCAATCAAAACTTTAGATAATGATTAACAGACTGATATCAAGATGGGTAGTAACCATCTTACCAAACTAACTGTTCAAAATGTTGTGTTTTCCAGGTGATATAGTTGTGTTTGTAAATTCCCAATTGAAACAAGACGTTTAATGACCAGAGTCATGCATCCTCTCATGCACACCCATCTGTCATCCAGGTAAAGAAGAAACGCCGCCAAATCTTTACTGTTAAAAGTAAACCAAATCTTTACTGTTATAGTAAACAGCACCATTTTGTGTTTTCAATTGACAGAAACAACTTCATCAAGCATTGAAATCAATTTTTTGTTACTTCATTTGCACCAACCAGAGTAAATATATTTGGTCCTTAGAAGGATGGAATATCATGGGGAAATGCATAAAATTCAAGAAAAAGCAGGTAATATGAGTATTTGAGACTTTTGAATCATTACCTGTTATGTAGCCAGAAAAAGAGTAACTAACGCCAAGGCTACATTAATCGTAATCCACCCAAAAAAGTCCGCATTAATCGTATGTTTGTTAAAAATTAAAAGCCAGCTGCCCATTCCTTTCAGTTTGAGGCTGTTGAAGACTTGAAGCCCATTTTAATTGATAATCGAATAAGATAACACAACAAATAAGTATCCACAGCATGATCAGTCTATTCAAGTGGAGCACTTAAAATCAGGTTCCCAATCTAATTTCTTCTTTTCTTTTCTTTCTTGCGTTTTTTTTTTTTTTGTTGTTGTTTACTTGTAAGAGCTCTAGGTCTAATGGTTATCGAGGTGGAAGGGTCAGGTAGAATTTATCCCCCAGAGTTGGTGACAAGAAACAATACCTTATCATCACAAATATCAAAGAGCAGTTCAACATAAAAATTTTTAAAATACAGTAATCAACGGATAGAAGTTTGAAAACTACAATAGAAAATATAAATCCCCTATTGCACAATACCAGAGGAATGTAGATGACGGTATGGTATGGCTAATTTATATGAGCTTTAATATATCATTTAATATCGGAAAAGTTTGTTTTAGTGTTGAAAAACTTTATAATTGATCATCTTGAAATAGCGATGGATGAATATGAAAAAAAAATATATATATTTTTGAGTCCCAAAACTAGTGTATCGTGCAACACATTATTTAGACCGTCCGTTTTCAAGATTTTCATATATTCATAGATCTACTTGATTTTAATCCTTTTTGGAGTTTAAAATTTTATAATTAAATATAAAAATAGATTTTTAAATAATCCTTAGAATGTTTTACGCCAAAATTACATGCTATGATAAAATTTGGAGGTGCACCTTAATTAAATAGAAACCACGCAATATAAATATATATTAAGACCAATTAAATATATTCCTTTTTCATGGCAAATGCAAAACAAGGGGCAGAAGGATCATTTGTTCACGCACTGAGAACATACGACTTCGGATATTGAAAATTTCGTAATTTAACCTTTTGACTTTGGATTTTAAATATTCGAAGTGAGGGTAAAATGAAATTCAGAAAATGGTCAAAAAAGGATATGCGCATAATATTAAACAATTACAATGGATTTTCATAATTAGTCTAATTATATAGGATATATGGGTATGTTTCTCTTTTTTATGATGATTTGGTAACCTTTCGTATTGCATAATTGAAACATTATTATTATTAAATGTTATAATATAAAATTTTTATTTTGGATTTTAAATATCCGAAGTGAGGGTAAAATGGAATTCAAAAAAGGGTGAAAAAAAGGATATGCACATAATATTAAACAATTACATTGTATTTTTTCGTAATTAAGCTAATTACATAGGATATATGCGTAAATTTCTCTTTTTTATGATGATTTGGTAACTTTCCTATTGCATGATCGAGTTTTTATTATTATTATTTTTTACTTTTCTAAAGTATTGGAATGTAATGAATCAAATTGTCTAATAATCCATCTTTTATATAATTTTTTGGACTATTGTAGACTTTTAATGGTTTTCTTTATTTCATTTTTGTTCTTCTTATTTTTAATTACCTAAACAAAATTTTCACAGTTTTTAAAATTATTATCATTATTTGTTCCTAAGTCACTTCGTCCGAGCCAAGGCAGAGTCCTAGGTCTAAGCCGAGTTTAAAAACACTGCTACCAACTTATCTTCTGCGACCATTAAGTTTTCTCAGTTGTTGACAGTCCTTAAAGTAGTGGCCTAGATTCCCATAATTCTAACAATTTGTTTTCCTTGTGAACTCCTAATCAGTGTAGATATCCTTTTGGATCTTGAAAAAAAATACTTCTTAGTTTTTAGTCTTGTCCTTGTGTTCCACAAGGTTTGCTTGGAGTTGAAAAGTCTTTTACCAACTTTGCATCCATGGCCTCATCTTTTTTCTCATCTCCTCTTCAACAATGAAGAGAGAATTGAAGATGATCTAGGTCAACATCAACCTTGTTCCCACTTATTTTCTTTATGTCATCTTTTCATTATCGGGGTAACTAAATAATGACGTTTCTTAATTGAAAAGCACCGTTCAATCCCCTCCTAGTTGACTTACCATATATACTTAAGCAAC